AGAAGGAACTGCCGGGTGATACGGAGAGTCCCGTGGGAGAGGATTCTCCACGGGGTGCCAACGAAACGTTCCAGTCTTTCCCGACGGTTGTTCTTGCTGCGGTGAAAAGCACGCAGTACCAGAACATTGTTTGCGTAGCCTAATGAAGCGAAAGAAGGCTTCTCCGGCTATTAGGCGATTTAACTTGCAGTACGCATGGACTTCTATTTCTTTTCTTTTCTTTTCTTTTTTTAACAAAGCGCGACGCTACACGAACGTCGTCGCCCAATTAGAGGGTCAGGCGGAAAAGGGAGTATGTAGTACAATCACGCGACGTGGTACCCATTGACTTTTTTTTTTTTTTTTTTTTTTTTTTTTTTTTTTTTTTTTTTTTTTTAACACCATTTGGAACGCGGTATTCGAGACATCCACCGTTGTCGAAAAATAGCAATTTATTACTGAACGCGGCGAATTTAGCGCGAATAAGTCGATGTGAACCAGTTACAATCTTACAAACTTGAAATGCATAAAGAAATAGCGTAATAATAAAAAGAATCGTCGTTAATAAAACGTTAATATAATTTTATTCCAAAATAATAATAAAATTCAATATTAATTTTATCGAATTGCGTTCGCTGATTTAAATAAAAAAAGGACGTTTTCGGTGCTAAACGCAAAAACGTGGCACTGGCAATATTTCATGCACGACTGCACTGACGTTTTCTCGGGAGAAAAACAATTTACACATGTGATAGCGGAGAAATCGTTCGTGAATCAATGTGCTTTCTTCATCGCGGCGTCAAAGTTCGCGATAATGTTCGGGGAAGGTTGCCTCTTCGGGAAAGTGGAAACAGCCGCTGCTGGCATGTTTCGACAGTATCTTTCGGTGTTCTAACGGAATATACGAGCATCACCGAGGATAACGCGACAGGAAGTTTCACCGCGGGTTGCCTGTGGTAACACGGCCGAGGTCAACTGTCGACGAATGATACCTACGCGATTAGAAAGTCGAAAGATGTTTAGCGGGAGATTGATGCAACGTCTCCTTTGCGAATGTCCGACCACACTCGTTACAAAGTTGAGAGGCGACTGTTAATTGGAAAATCGGCATCGCGGTTGATTCTATTTTCTAGGATGCGAAAGGCGCTTCTTCGACTTTAGAGCTCGCTCAGTAGAATGCTTCTTCACGAGTTATTAAAGAGATATGGGGTGTTTAGGTGGTCATGTTATTTTCTCGCAGTAGAAAGTAAGAATTACATACGTTGATTAAGTGATATGTAATTAAGTGGTTATTATATTGATTGATTTGTTCCTCGGTCGTGATAAAATTTCTTTCAATATGACAAAGAAAGATGCATACTGTACACATGTAGAAGATGATTTACAATTATATATATATATATCAAATTATAATTCAGTACATAAAATTATAAGTAAAATCCTAAATTCCAAAAAGATTCAGTGAAAAATAATATTTACGATATATTAAGATTATAAACATATAATATATTTTATTAACATATGTTAATAAAACATTTCTGAGATTTTTAACATCTGCAAAAATTCTTTACGTTGAATTCATTAACCATAAAATATCTTTATCGAGGATATTTAAAAGATATATTTAAAAGATCTGGCTTTATATATATTAATTTGAAAAAGGATGCTAAGATATTTAACGATATTTGAAGAGAAAGAGAGAGAAAATTTTCAATTTACCGACAATATTCACACGACAGGACATGTTAATAAATGATTTGAAAAAGGAGGGAGCGGGGACAACATAATTAAATCTCCTTAGGACTTCCTAGTTAATTCACAAGCATCAGCTCTAATCGATGTACTAATAAAGGTATCTTCGCTCGGTAAAACGCTAAAAGAAAATGCAGAAACTACTTGAAAAACATGCCTGCATTCCTAGTATCACACGATCGCGATATCGCCGACGTATAAAAACTAGAGAAATAAATATCCATTATTCCATTATTTCTAACAAACATTTAAAGTCGAATTTACAATCGACAAGATGATGCGAGTCGAGACATAAAAGCACTGCTCTTCCAACATCTACGGGGTATGACATTTTGACGATGTGTTATAAATTAGCCTGTTAGCCCGACGATACGCACTGTCGGATAAGCAAGAAAAGATTTAGATAAGCTCTTATCTGTTTCTCTATTGTCGTGTGCATACAAATACGTTCATCTTTTTGCCTTTTTCTTTGTAAAGTTTTTCCAGGCAATAGCTAGCTAGCGGATTATTCGGTACAACTGACGAAACGACAAACCGTGTTCGGCCCGATAACCCGAACGAGCAACGATTTTGCGAATGTCCGATTACGATGTAATATCATTCATGCGCAGCAACATCACAAGTCGATGCAATGCGTCGAAGAAGACGGAGTTGCATTCGTTCAGCCAAATATAACCCGCGTCGCTATAACTGACGAAAAGTTTATCGCGGAGAGATTGGCATTTGAGCATGCATCGTTGAATTTCGATAAAAAGTCAAAGAACATGATGTTTAAAATGATCACCGCGATGCATAATTTTAGATAGATCTTGATACCGAGATATCAAGATTAAGATTAGTCTTGATATTGTCTTGTCTCGAAATTTGAGACGAGATCAACACAAGATTTTTAATTAATTATGAAGATTATATCAAGATTAAGATTGTCAAGATTATTGGTCTTGTCAAGATTATATATATATGCGCGCGCTCGTGTGTGTATAATGTTTTGGGAAGTAAACGAGTGACAAATAGTAATAATTATTTTAAATTACTATATATTATAAAGATAATATATTGTTAAATATTATTTTAAACAATTGTTCAGTATTAAATAAAAATTGTTAATAAAATCAGACAAGACAATACAAGACGAGATTTTTGCTACTAAAATTCACTCAAGATCAAGACAAGATTTAAGTTTCCGAAAATTTTCAATACCAATACAATAATTTTACGAATATTGTTTTGAGTCTTGTGCAATTCTAATTTTAAATGCGTGCTTTTGATTGTTAGAAAAAAAAAAGGAAAAGGAAAAATAAATATACTCTTGTAAGCTCTATGTAACCAATTGATGGCTACTCTAACATCACGTAAGAACAATTACTGTTTGAATTTATAAGTTGACACTTCCGTGTTCTTTTCTAGTATAGCGTATTGTTTGTCTAAGTGACGTTCTCTCTCTCACACACACATCCCACGCAAAGTTCATATAATTTTCAGCGCGTCTGTGTTTCTGCCTTACTCGTAACGGAACCTTATGTTTTGCAGAGTATAAATACTTCGTTGATTCCCGCATCTTAACGTATCTCTTTTTAAATCATAGCGATTACTGCAAGATGAGGATTTCGAGCAATGTTATTACCGGCCTTGCTAGCAATAGAACTAGTTTACGTGTCGGCATATTAACCTCGAAATTGTAAATGATTATTGCAGTCTAAGAATGGTCACGAAACGAAATTACAGTAATTATACCGGCGTGCTTAGCTAAAACGAGATTTCTCCGCTTTGGTCGGTAATTGCGTTAGTATTGCTAGGTTCCTGCTG